TCTTTTGCTGAAAAGGAAGTAGAATAAATAAAGTGGAGGGGAGAAGGAATAAATTAGAAGCCAAATTACCTTAATGGGATTGCTGTGTGGTTTAAAAGGAGGTCGGAGGAGGGTAGGGTTTTTGCAGGGGTGACATGTGGGAACGAAACGCGGCGTATCGGAGGAAGAACACCGGAGACTAAAATTAATGCGGCACGCCATGCATCCGATGATTTCGATCTCCCCAGGCCAATTGTAGCTTAGCCTAGCCTAGCCTAGCCTAGTGTAGTTGAAATTGCTTTCTGCTTTCCGCGATAAACCCTTGTCTTTTGTCGGCATTGCTGTCTCTTTTGGATCAGATTTATGGGTCCAGTTCGGACCCTTCCTGGGCTTCGCTTTCATCTCTTTTGGGTCTCAAAAGTTCACGGAGATTTGGGTTCTGTCTTGGGATTATCGATGGGCTCCCTTTTGTATTGCATGAGCCTCACCCTGTTTCCATGTAAAGGAAGACTCTGAGGATTCGTGGGAATTTCATCACAAAGAATCCATACTAAGTTATTTGTGTGCAAAAAAAATAAATAATAAAGAAAAAGATCTGTTTTGAAATGTTTCATGATGCTTTTCACTTATCCTTTTGCAAAAAAGTAAAGAGATTTCTTTGCTAATGGATAATTCAGTTACGAAAATACTTTTCGAAAAGGTTTTTTAGCATTTTCCATGTTTGAAAGGGAGAAAATGCAAAAGTGAATGCAAAAAAGTTTCGGCACCAGGTACCGATGCGATGGTGTGATTTTGATCTCCATGAACACTGCAGCGCATGCCCCACGGTGTTCTCCTCTTTCATGCATACAAGCTCAACCTTGTGCGTCGCAACCCACAAGCCACCCGCCAAAAGGTTCATGCCTGCAATGTGTGTTGCGACCTGGTTTAAGGGCTGAGCTATGCGACTTTGATGTGCATGCACCCTATTTGCACCAACTTGCCTGAACATGTCAGGCGCGTGATTCATCCGAATCACCTCTTGAAGGTGCGGTCATTTCACCCTGGTTGGTGCCTAACTGGTTTACAAAGCTGTGTCCACGTCCTGCCGTTATAGATGTGAACTTCGTTGCTTTGATCTTCGCCTTGATTGTGTCTTACATTCTGATATACCAACGCCACGATTCCTGCCACCAGAAGCTCCGCCACCAACGCCACCTTGTTTTTCTTGGGCTTCTGTGCCCCTTCCTCGACCACCTTATGTTTGTGGGCATCCTTTTAGACCACCTTATTTTGTTCGTTATGCTTCTGGGATCTTTCCTACTAACTCTAGCAGTCAGGTTCAGGGCGACAGGAACAAGAAAAGCTTGATCGTTTTTGGAGAATAATGGAATCTCTCCTGGAATGATTCCTAAATATTCCACCAATCTATGTTTCTTCAAACATCAAACTCAGGACAAAGGAATAGAAAAACGAATTGTCCCCTGCAAGTGTTTTAATAGGACTTGAATGTTGGTTTTTGTTCATGTGTTTTTTGCCGTGTCTTTTCCTTAGGACCATAGTCATAGATGTCTGATCTGATCAATATCCTCTGCATTCAGATTTAGATTTGAATTGTCTGTAGTTCAATGTAACACTTGAATGGTAGGCTTTGTTGATCTATGTTACCTCCTTTTGTTGTCAATAATTAAAAACCAACACTCTAATTTGAGCTACAATATGTTTGACATAACTTTTGTGCGATAAATGTACAAATAATCAATGCGATCCATAAATAGACATTCTTATCTTCCCAGCCATTCAGCCTGAGATTATTTACTTCTCTCTGCTGATGAATTAGGAACCTTCTCAATAGCTTCTGTTTTCAACTTTTATGGAGTTCTGATTTATTGAGCCTTCAGACAATTTCAAGTTATTAGATGAATCAAAACTTTACCTCACCCCTTTCTCTTGATAAGTCCACAGGCAAGCCTAACAGTCAGGGCTTCTGCAACCTCCATTGACCCTTGACCTTGCTTGGTAAACAGTAACTGTTCATCGTTTTAATTGATACATGTTCATAATTATTTATAGCAAATGCTTATCATGGAGCAAATAAAAGCAAAGTCTTTATTTCTTGGTAAATGAAATCTCATTTTCTCCAAATTTGAGATGCATATGAAGATATTGTTTCTATCTTGACTCGCGACTCTCTTGAAATCATGGACTCTGCAACTATATATGCTTGTTGCCATTGACAGTGTGCATATAATATGTTACAAATTAGCATAATAATAATGTCAAACATTTAACAACTTGTTGTTCTAAAAGAATTTCTCTCTCAATTGGTTCCACCAAACCCTTAAAAACTACAAATTGATTAATACTAAAATAGTAGAAGTCGTCTTAATCAAGAACTTGAGAGAATTGAAACAAACATGTTGAAGGGCTTGATATTCCATGAAAATGGCCATGGTCCATGGCAACTATCATCTTTTACTTCCTTTTTCCAATAAATATTGATGTTAACGCTCAAAAAGAATTGAAAAAGGAGGATTTACGAAAAAGCTAATGAACGAGGATAATATTGAAATTTTTTTTATTATATTTATATGTCCAAGATATCCTGAATTCATCTAGCATGTAGTCATTTAAACGCGTTTTACCCAAACTTGCATTGTCAATGCTTAATTCGAAGGTGAATTTAGGCAAGTGTGAGCTATTCAAACTAGAAGTTTCTCAAAGTAAACACAAATGGCTAGTAGTACTTATTAATTAATCAACTGTGTCAACATGACACAGTAACGTGTTTAACAGTAAAAAGAATCTTTAAACTTGGCAAGACTGCATCGCTCTGAAAGTCAGTAGCCAGAGGCACAATAACTCAACTTGATCGATTAATAAAAGTCCAAAGTCGCACTCAGACGACTCTGCCAAGCTTTAACCACTTCAATCATCCTCAACATGTAACTTTCAAATGTTCAATATGTATAAGCTCGCAATGGCAAGCCCTTGCAAAGATAGAGAGAGATGACTCCATTATCAAAGAAAACTATGCAACATTTCACCCATAGCCATCCATTAACAGAAGTTTACGCCATCACAGAGTTCCTCTGCGATGGTTGCAGGACTCTAGGGTTTGGCACAAGGTATCGATGTGAATCCTGCCATTTTGATCTCCATGATCACTGTGCCACCTGCCCTTCGGAGCTCTCGTCTTTTATGCACGAACATGATCTCAAACTCGTTGTTTTCAGGCCACAGGCTACGTGCCACAACGGGCGTATCTGTGACTTGTGCGGCGACCCTATCGAAGGGATTTTCTATGGCTGCAAGCTATGCGAATTCGCTGTGCACCCTCTTTGTACCCAATTGCCTGAATATGTACGGCACGTGATGCATAAGGATCCTCCTTTTAGGCTGCAACGATCTGTGCCTGGTCGGTGCATGGTCTGCAAAGATACATGCCCATCTTGGCGTTATAGATGTGGGCTTTGCTGTTTTGATATTCACTTTGAGTGTGTCTTAGCACCTTGTGAGGTGGCGGCGATGTCAACGCCAACGCCTCGATCTTTGAAAAGATCAGTTCCACCACCACCATCACCATCAGCTTCCCCTTTTTCTGATGCTTGTTATGCTTACGGCTACGGGGCCATGCCACCACCTCCTTATTTTGCGTATGGTTACGGAGTCCCTCTTGCACCCCCGTATTTTGGTCCTCATCCTCATGGCTATGGAATCCCCTCTAGCTCGGGCGGGAACAACGTCAATAGCCATCCGCATAGCAACAGTCAAGGTCACGGAGGTTGGGGAAAGTTTCGAAAGAGAATGTACGCAATTGCTGGGAACCTAACTCTTGGAGTAGTTAGTAACGTGGTGTACGGAACCTTCTTTTCAAGCTAATAAGAGCATTGGAGTTTCAGTTGCATCTAATTTGCTCTTTGTTTGAAGGCCAAAACATTGCAATTTCAAGCTATTAGAAAAAATGTATAAATTTCTAGAGGTATCAGGAATTAGTTCTTTGTACTTCTAGATTCTTTCTTAATAGAAGCATGACAGAGTTGGGACTTCTCCAATTTTCTGCAACTACTTTTCATCAAATTCTCGAAACTAAAAGTTTGTGGAAAACGACTGTTGAAATACTGGGAACATGACCAGGCCATTATAATATTTTGCTTTTCCATCAAAAGAAAACTTTATTAAGTATCAAAGGCCGATACTTGACCTGGTTTGAAACAAGCAAACCAGTTCGAACTTTACAAACCCAACACATAAAACGTGATCTTGTTACAAACCAAAGAAACAAAACATAAATCATTCCAATTCAATCACCTAAAACCTGATACATGGCCCTATTATTATTATAAAAAAAACAAATTGAGACAAAATTATATCGATAATTTATTTTTTTTATAGATATAGAGAGTTTTCCCAAACCTTGGCCCATGTTCCAGCAAGTGACAGTTGTAATAGTTGTGATATATTGTTTGTCCATGGTGTAAATGTTGTATTGACCTCACCCACATGGAAAAAAAAGGGCTAAAAACGAGTTTTGAGAATATCAAGTAAATATGAAAAATTCATTGAATACCAAGTAAACCATTAATCTAGCTTTGAGAATATCTAAACATGAATATAATGTAATTAGATTCTGTGTATCCCCTTAGACACTCCAAGCTTGTTTTCTGACTGCTATTTCCTAGTAAAGTACTACACAATCAGGTGACAGGAAAGACCAAAGAATATTAAACTTGGCAAGACTGCCTCCTTCTGACAGTTAACACTGCTTTTCTATGAAGCTTGGACTCATTCAATCATCCTCGACATAGAATTATTTGTTTGCAGCTGTTGCTAGGTGATTGGACATAGGGAGATACATAGGGACATGATGAAAAATCAGACTTTTCTTCTTTCAAACTCTTAGAGTTTGAAGTATACATGTGAATCCTCCACCATG